AGGAGTTCTTGATAAACTATGGCTGCAACTTTGTTAAATCTCTCCATCAGGTATTTATTGTTTGCATTGTTCTATTGTTTCGGTGTTATTGTTGCATTTTCTGCATTTGTCTGTGTCAATATCTTCCTGTACTTACGATGGTTTCTAGTACCAACAACATTATCTTGGATGCTAAGCATAAACCCTTCTGGTTCCGGGAAGATACCTATCCCAAGCCGATAGAGCGATGCGGTTTTGTCAACTGACTCTCTGTGGAGGTCATTTTGGAACCTTCCGTGGAGTTCCATACCCATAAGATCTCTTTTCTTTTGTTCTTTGGTCAACATATTTGGAAATGTTGAATATTTTCTATCGCTAAGATTTAATGGAGTTAGTTTATTGTCGGCATTTATGATAGCTTGAAGGAGGTTTAACAACCTTTGTTGTTTTGATGAAATTAATTTCGGAGAGAATTAACTTGTTGTGCACACAGCTGTACCAGATCAAATATACCTCTTCCTCCGTCTTCGCGAGGGAGCGTTATTCGGTGTTTGGATGATTGCGGATGGTTCTTCCTCCGGCCTGTCATTTTTGTTCGTGTTTTTCTATTAACATTTTCTAGTTCTGTGTAGGACCATTTCACAACTCCGAATAAATATGACAAAGTGGGGATTGTATAGCTATTAATTGCTTTCGTGAGTCGTGATGAATTCAGCTCTGTTTTAAGTAGAGCAATCAGTCGGGATTCGAAATTTTCGATACATTTTTCTTTAATGATTTTGTGTTCAACTCTGTTTGTCTGAAGATAGCCAAGATATTTTTATGAGTCTCTTGACATAGCCTCAACATTTGTTTCCGCGTCAAGCTGCAACTCTTCACCTTCGATAAGTTTTCCTTTATGCACGGTAACTGTTTGGCATTTACAAGCTCCTAAGCTTCATACCAATGTCTTTGCTGATTTTAAAGATTAGCTTCATTACTGTTTCTAGGTGTTTCTTTGTAGCAGCATATTTCTTTAGGTCATCCATGTATAAAAGGTGGCTGATAGTTTTTGAATTATCATTGGTCTTGATAGTAAAGCCGTATCCCGTGAAGTTTATTGCATTTGATATGGGATTTAGCGCGAGGCAGAACCATAACGCGCTGAAACTGTCTCCCTGAAAGATTCCACGTTTTAGGTCTGTATTACCAACTTCAATGTTGCTTTCTACAGCTTTTATTTGCAAGCATGTTGACCAACCCTTCATAGATTTTCAAAAGAAGTCTATCTATTCCGTATATTTGGAGTGCACGCAGAAGCCAACTGTGAGGAACAGAGTCAAGGCTTTCTGATAGTCTATATAGCCCATGTGGATATTTCTGCATTTACTTTTTGCTTGCTCTAGTACTATCTAATCTATCACCGCCTGTTCCTTACATTCCATAGCCTTACGTCTGCAGCCTTTTTGCTCAAAGGTAAGTATTTCTTTAGACTCTAGGTAAGTATATATTTTGTTACATATCAGTGATGAAAAAAGTTTGTAGGTCGTGGGCAAGCAGGGGATAGGTCGGTATTGTGAGGGGTCCTGCGTATTTTCACTTTTCGTTAGCAGAAGCGTAGTACCTTGTGTCATAAATCTTGGCATATGGGTAGGGTTAGCGAGAATATCATTGAAAGCATTGGCCAGATAGATGTCCGTGTGCGCTTGAGAATGACTTAAGTCGGTAATTTTGGATACCATCAGGACCTGGTGCTTTCCAGTTAGCCATTTGTCTACAGCTATCTAAAACATCTCTTTTGGTAAATTCGATTGGATCTATTTCCTGTTCTTTGTATCTCTGGGCTTCGCTGGTAATCCAATGTGCATTGTTATTATGTTGAAATGGGACAGACCATATTTCCGACCAAAAGTTTCTGATGGCATCTTTGGCTGGTAGTACAATATATCGATCAGACTTTTCTTCTAAGCTTCGATAAAAATGTTTCTCACTTATTGCAAATAAATTGTTTTGTTCTTTTCTTCTGTTGCTTCTTTGATATCTCGCCAATCTCTGAGAGAGGACGGTTAGCTTTTGTTTAAGGGTCGAAGGAGGTCAACTAAAATGTTATGAGACTGTGTTTCGCTTAACGTTTTTATTTCTTTTTGTTTTTCAGGTGGTAAATACTTTGTTACTTTACGCTTCCTGTTTCCATTCGTAATTAGTTGAGTCTTGCCCTCGGTCTTGCCTATTTCTTTCCTGAGATTATCAATGTTTGTCTCCAGTCGTCTTTTCCAGGGTGAGTTTGGTTTTGAGGGAGCCCTTGCTGAGGTTGCGATAGGCTTAATTTTTTGTCCATTCAGCTCGACAATTGCTACTGCAGCGCCATAGTGCAGCGCAGTATAGTAAAAGTGGATTTCATCAATTTTCTCAGTCCCAATAAGTCGACCAGAAAGAAATTCATTTGCCTCTTTTACTAGATGTTTGGTTGTAGGTTTAAAGAAAAGTTTTGGCAGTTTTGGTCGTCGGCACGAGTCTATATGCTTTTCACTTATTATTGGCGTAGATAGGCCAGAAAATTTTAATACCGCGGTACTTACGAAATTATGTAAACTACACTTAAAACTGTCTGGAATTTGACATATACTGTCATTATTATACGAGGGTCAACCTGCCAAATTTCTATGGATAATGCTACGCTAATAATAAGTGAAAAGCATATATTTATATTTGGTTAGGCATGCTTTAATGCAGCTATCGAGTTTACTTGGGTTATTGATGATGTATGGTGATTCCTGTTCTTCTTGTTGCGTCTCCATGGCGAGTCTAGCTAGTAAAGGCTTTGCCTCTGCTTTGTTTTCTAAGTTACCTTGCCTATCTGAATATACAGTGTGTCCCGCTTTTCATGAATACACCCCGATATCTCAGTTATTAATAATGCGATTTCATTCAAATTTTGGTGGAGATTGTATGTTAGAAAAATGAACTATTTGACATAGTAACAATTTTTATTTTCCATTGGCGTGCGGTGTTGGGGAGTAAAAGGGGGTTGTATTTTTGGGAAAAAGATATTAGGGCTTATTTTAGATAATTTTTTGTATCAGATTAAAATTCAGCATTCCCAAAAAACCCCGTAATTCATATTTTCAAAATGTCAAGAGCTAATTTTACCAAAAAAATAAATAAGTATTTTAATTAATTTTTTCTAAAAAGTTGTTTATTTCTAATGGACCTCTTGCATGCATTTTTTTTATTTGCTTATTGGAAAGAGGAGTCAAAATAAAGCTCAACTGTATCTTTTTCAGATTTTTTTCGGACTTGCAAAGGCTTTAAATTTCGATTTGAAGTTCAAATTTCTTGGTGCCGTGACACCAAATTTCTGATTGGTCAATTTTATTCAGTTTTGCCCAGATGTCAAAAATTTCATGTAAACTTTTCCTGGGGGCGACAACTAAATCGATATATCGAATTCACAGGTTTGTAAGTATCGGATATGGAGTCGATTCTCATCCCTATGGAAAACTTAACCCAACTTTTCGTTTTCAATTGATTATTCATTATTTATTTTTATTTATTTATTATTAGCTTCTCCAAAAAAGACAGAAGGCAGAGGAGGCACACAAACCATCAAGAAACAAACAATAAACCCGAGCATAAGGCCATTATGTCGTTCATAATTGAATACCTTAGGTACACATTTACTAGTGTCTGCTTCTTAATTTTAGAGGTTTCTACCTAATAAGCATATAAGGGAATCATTATTTGTAGAAGGTTGCTCTACTCCACCTGAATTTTACTAATACCTATCTACCAATGCTAAAATCATCTCTTGAGAAATATGAATTAAGGGGTTTTTGGGGATGCTGATTCTTAATCTGATACAAAAAATAATCTAAAATAAGCCCTAATATCTTTTTCCCAAAAAAACAATACCTTTTACCCCCCAACACCGCACGCCAATGGAAAATAAAAAATTTTACTATATCAAATAGTTCATTTTTCTAACATACAATCACCACCAAAATTTGAATAAAATCGCATTATTAATAACTGAGATATCGGGGTGTATTCATGAAAAGTGGGACCCACTGTATATCAAAAAATGGTACCCCTAAAAAAAATCCGAGTACGCCACTGGATTCTACGTGAAAAATCACACAAAAACGTAGTTTACCATTTTTTAAAATTTTTGATAACAACTGAGATACAGAGGATACAGAGGAAAACAGAAATCGGCTATTTTTCAAAAAAATCCTGTATATCGAAAATAAATGAAGTCCGAAAAATTCTGAGAGGTCCATTAAACTATATGGTTAAAAAAATAGATCGCGACACGTATATTATATTTTTTGTATCTATCACCGTTTAGGCTGTTCCCGGCAGTCCCACCCAAAATAACTCACATGAGTTACAAAATCCAAAGGTCGGTGTACAAGGGACTATTAATTTACAACCAAAAATTACATTGTTTTGGCATTTTTCGACAATTTTTTAATCCTAGAAAGCTTTGGATGACATTATTTTGTCATTTTTCCACCCGTTATTAAAATATGTCATTGCCTGAACTCAACATATTTTGAAATGTTATTATTTACTGTCAAAATTTCACCGGGAACTCAAATTGGGATTAATAATTTTTGGACTATTTTTTTTTTGTTCGCAGTGGTACATTTTCTTACTTGAAAATATGTAAGTATATAGTATATACAATGGCTGGGTTCAGTAATTGCATCTGTGAGCAAAATAAGCAAAATTTGACAGATGTCACGTGAAAAAACATAACTGATCACGTGACGTCCGTCAAAATTTGCTCTTTTTGCTCAATGTTCAATTACCGAGCACAACCAATCCTATCGATATCAAAAAAACAGCTGGGGCCAATGAAATCGTTGTAACAGCAGATGAAAATTGTTTGAAACAAACCTCAAGTGACTTCGATCAGTTTGTTCAGATCGAAAGAATACTTCTAATGTTTCAACATTTAATTTGAAGCTCGATTTAAAGGAAAAAGATATTCAAGGCTTAATTTTTTGAGAAGTTGAAGTAGCAAATTCTAAACTCACCTGTATTTTTCTTTTTCCTTTTCTTTTTCGTTTTCTTGTCAGCATTGGTGTCCTCTCCAGCTATTATATCTTGATTCTCCTCCAATGGTCTGTCCTTATTTTGAACTGAATTTTTACGTTTTTTGAGTGGGGATGACTGAACTGGCACCATAGGAGATAAATGAGGCAAATGCTGATGGCTTTCTGAAGGATCGTAATCGCTTTCAGAACTACTTCCACTTTCTGATGATTTTCTCCGATTATGACGTTTTCTGTATCCACTTGTACCTGCTTTTTCTAGGTCATCTTCACTATTGGCAGATTTATTTTTTCTTTTTGGTGTAATAAGTTCACCAAACTTTTCTAAATTATTACTATCATCAAAAATATCTTTAGGAAAGTCAACTTCGTTAAAAACTATAGTTTTAACAGTATTACTAAATTCTCTGCTGGATTCTCTATTGAAATCCGATGTGCTTGTACTGCTTTCAGTTTCATAGTGATCACAAGGATTAGCTGGTCGAACAAACTCAGCATCTTGAAACTCGGAACCATGTAAACTGAAATTAAAATTTTCTCCACTAGTTGTTGCAGCTGGCAAAAAATCGTTGGAAGCTTCTTCATCAATGTGGAGTGAAGGTTCTTCAACTCCAGGCGGTTCATCTGGTAGTTCTTCATTCTCATCGGTTTCATCAGCAACAGTGACAACTGGCACCGGAGGCGGTTCTATATAAATGATATCATCATTTTCACCACCTTCGTCACTATCACTTATTTGTGTAACTTCTTCCATATTCTTTTCTTTTACACTCACAATCTCTATATCTGAATCATCACTGCTGTCACTTAAATATACAATGTCACTGCAAACAGTTGACAGGGTTTTTTGTGCTTGTTTCCTACGTTTTTTCTTCTGGAGAGAAACGCGTCTGAGAATTCTAAAAAATTGCTTCTCATTGATCAACCCTGCTTGGACATTTATTAAGGCTTGTTCACATTTGTCCGACCAATTAGTTTTGGTTTTGAAGCTTTGAAGGCGATCAAAAAATTTCGGTCCAGGACAAAAATTTTGATTTGTGTGTTCTTGATCACTTATCGGGTCGTCTGGAGAAACTGGTATTTGGGTGGGTTCTAAAGAACCTGTTTTAGTAGTAGAAGTGGATATTTCTGAACATTGGAGATTATTGAGTGATAGATTGGGGTCCGCAGTAGGCGTAGTCTCAGGCGATGGTTCTAGATTCGCTGGTTGACCTGGAAAAAATAAAATTATATTTCACGACATGAATACCCAATATAGTTTGAAGATTTGGCCATTAGCACGGAAACCTGGCGATGCTTTGAGTTACTGGAACTGAAATACATAATATGTGCATGTGTTATCCCAAATCTAACCAAAAATAAAAAATCTATGCGTATCCTTCAAAGGTTATCGTTTTTTGTACCTGTCGAATACTTATCTACGACCTTAGAACCAAGACAGTGAGTACGGCAGCGGCCTCCTGAGGAATACCAAAGTTTTTATTTCACTATGCACACCATTCGTTTTAACATACTGTTTTCTACCTACCTACAGGGTGTCACGAAAGGTTTGTTACAAACTTCTAGGGATGGTAGATCTCGTAAAAATAAAGCTTTTTTCTTAATAAACATGTGTCCGGAAATGCTTTGCTTTCCAGATACAGGGTGTTAAACTTTGTAAAAAAAAGCCAATTTTTTTATTAATTCTTAGAAATGCGTTGTACGAATTAAATGAAATTTTCATAGTTTGATGACACCTTTATGAAGTATCTTTTGGACTGCTCAGAGTTGACCCAGTAATTCCAGGGACGTGCCACAGGTTTTGTGGGATGGTTTTTTTGCACGAAAAACATCGTCCAGTAGATTTATTTTCAATTAAGATACGTTTTTTCAATAGAACATTTGAAGATACAACTTTTTTATCTCCTTATTTATTTTCCGTATGCTGCTTAGTTTTCGAGATAAAAATTGATTTTTTTCACAAAGTTTGACACCCTGTATACAGGGTGCCCCACGGTGGATGGCGTATCAGACGTTTATGGAGAACTAAAAAGCAGATCATTTCGAAAATTTGGCAACCGGGATAAACGACCATAATCTACACTTTAAAAAAAATTTTTGTTTATGCGGTGTTGCCGCGTCTACTCTCAACCAGTGGCAACATCGCTATTTTAAATGAAACACCCTGTATGTGATTGCATATTTGGATTCTATAGTCGATTAAAGGCGATTAACCATTCGGTTATATTGACAGATGAACAATGCATTTAATGTCATTTATAACCGATTGGTTGACAAATGACGTTTGCTTCATTGGTTATCTGTCAACTATGACCGACCGGTTAATCGCCTTTAATCGATGTATGTAAAATTCTGAGCAGATTTCATGTGATACACCCTATACCTAAGTTCAACTGTTTTGGAAATATTGACAGTTGAAAATTGACTTTTTGCAACTTTGACAGGCTGTAAAACCTGAACGGTCAATTTTAGAGGAAAACCGATTTCACATTCCTGTCTTAGATTTTTATAAACTATAATTTGACACCAACTTTGAATTTAATCCATGATTAAAAATTCCAATTAAATTTAATCTCCGATTAAATTCAAAGTTGGTGTCAAATGATAGTTTATAGAAATAATCTAACATAGGAATGTAAAATCGGTTTACCTCTAAAATTAACCGTTCAGGTTTTACAGCCTGTCAAAGTTTGAAAAAAGTCAATTTTCAACTGTCAATATTTCCAAAACAGTTGAAAACTTAGGTATAGAGTATATCACATGAAATCTGCTCAGAATTTTACGTAGAATCCAAATATGCAATCACATACAGGGTATTTCATTTAAAATAGCGATGTTGCCACTGGTTTAGAGTAGAAGCGGCAACACCGCATAAACAAAAATGTTTTTAAAGTGTAGATTAGGGTTGTTTATCTTGGTTGCCAAATTTTCAAAATGATCCGCTCTTCAGTTTTCCATTAAAGTCTAATACTCCATCCACCGTGGGACACCCTGTATCTGGAAAACGAAGCATTTCCGGACACATGTTTATTAAGAAAAAAGCTTTTTTCTGCGATTGACTAGAAATGTCAGCATTTTTGACCGGTTGACAGGTCGCAAAACTCAATATTCTGGTATTTCAATTATGTTTCAATAGTTGCTAAGGAATCAATGAATAACAATACGGGAAACACTTTTCCGGCCTAGGCCGGGAAAGTGATTCTCGTATTGCTGAATAATAGGAACTTAAAGACAAACATTTAACAGGTATTTAACCGATCGCAGAAAAAATAGTATGTGTATTTCGGTGGAAAAGCACATTCTCGGGCTTCAACTTACACCGTCGGCCGAGAATGTGTCACTTTTCCACCTAAATACACAATATACTATATTTTTACGAGATCTACCATCCCTAGAAGTTTGTAACAAACCTTACGTGACACCCTGTATGTATATGAGAAGTTCTAATAAGGTTATTCATAATTCCTGTAAATCCCATGTTCTCTATACCTAAATCAAATCCAAACGGCAGTAACGTAACCAACTGGTCATTTTCATTACAACCTATCAAATGTCCTCCGTGCATGCGCACTGGTTCTGGTAGGGAAGTTCAACCAAAATAATTTATTTTATTTTGTCATTACTGCCGCATGGATTTGAGAACAATATAGTTTGTTTATCAAAATATCTTAACTAACCACATCATAAGCTTTTCCCAAGTCTAGATAAATAAGAGCAACTATTCTCTTGGTATCCACAGCCTTGGATTTATTATTTCCATCAATTTCCGTCAATGGTCAACATACTGCAATTTTTTTGAAACTGATCAAATGCATAAAATATCTGAATCTCAGAAACGTTGCTGATAGCGTGTCGCAACAGGTATTGATAACAGCCTATTTTGCCACTTTCCACTTTATTTATGCAATCATTACCTGGGGTCATGCAGCTGATGCTCGACATGTTTTTTGCATGCAGACTAGGACTACAAGTGGACCTTTGCGAAAAAGATACTTTACGCTCGTGTTAGATAAAACATTTTTCCTGCCAGAGTGCGGAAATTGACATACATAATGTTTTTTTTGGCTCTACTGCGTATACAGGGTGGCCCATTTTCGATGTTTTAATGGGCTATATCAAAAACCAGCAGAGATATAAAAAATCTGGGAGCAAATCCTCAAGCACTTTTTTTGGGAAAATAACAATGGCGAAGACAAATCACGGCTAACTTGATGCATTTAGGAATTTTCAAATTTTGTCCAATTTCAAAAGACTGTCTAATATCCTTATTATTCAAGATATCTAAAAAACAAAAAATACTTTCTAGAGGCAGTTTTTCAAGTAGAATCCAGTGGCATAACCAATTTATTTCCAGATGCCACCGATTTTGGAATATTGTCCAAAGTTGTATTTTTTTAAATGTATACCCTGTATATTATTTTTTCATTGAATAGCCCTTTGTGAGCTGATTTCAATGATATAAGGTTTTATACCTTTACCTTCAATAGTTTTGGACAAAAATGATCATGACCCTGCCACAATTATCAAATGTTCAAATTTTTGAGAACAACAACATAAACTTCAGCATAATACATATAAACATAAGAAGTATATATAAAAACTTTGATGACTTTCTGGTTTTTGTCGAGTCAACTAAAAAATAAAAATAAATTTGATATTCCCGTGACGTCAGAAACGCAATAAATTTATAACTTGAATGACTTTAGTTTACCTGGGTACAATATTTATTTTTCCTACGAGCGTGCGCAAAGTAGTACTTTTCCGCACGCATTTCCGGGCTCAAAGTTACACTCTTCCGCACTCAGTGCGGATACAGGCCTTATCCGCACTGAGTGCCGAAAAGTAATTATAATTGTCAAGCAACAATAAGTGCACCTATCGACTTTGACACATGATGACAAATTTTTCCTCTGGTTCTATATCAGTCAACATCTATACAAACACCAAATATAAATTAACTTTGACACATTGTCAGATTTGTTCTCTATTTATATGCAAAAATCTACAAACTTTCTCATCAAATTTAAACGCTTTATAAGATGAACAGCTCTGACGAGGATTTTCTGTTATTTTTTGTTATGTAATTTTTTGATAAATGCATAGGTTCCCTTCAAGTTAATTAAAAATAATTAAACAAATTATCGTTTAATTTTTAAATTTTTGTTATTACCTACCTCATATGAAGCTCGTAGGAAAAATTTTGTTCCTAACACGTGCGCAAAGTGTCTTTTCCGCACGCAAACACGTATCCGAACTCCGCTTCGCGTCGTTCGTATAACTGTGTTTGCGTGCGGAAAAGTAACACTTTGCGCACTTGTTAGGAAAATAACTATTAATTGATAGCTCACTAAATAAATGCGACGGTTGCGTTATCTATGCTAAACAAAAACACTTTATGGAAAATCAAGTGATTGTGGAGAAGACTTTAAAAATTGTTAAAGTCTCTATAAAAAAACAACATCAAACTATAGTCATTCTTGCCACTTAGAGATGTTTTTCCACTAGTAAGAAGGAGTTTCTGGAAAATTTTGAAGCAGTTTTGGAAAGAATAGTGTTTGATCGAAATAAAGCGTATACATCTCTGCTAGGGACATAAACATTGCCCTGCTAACAACTGAAGTGACCTCAACAAGTAACCATTTATCATTGATGCAAAGTTATGGTTTCGTGACTGTCATAAATAAAGCTATGAGAAAGGTTGACAATTCTGAATCATGCTTAGATCATTTTTTTGTTCTCTGTAAAGTTGGCCCTTTTGAAAAAATTAAAGCAATGGTGCTTAACTGATCATGATCCCATCCTTCTCAATTTACCAATAATTGTTACAACAATCCCTACAAAAAACGAAAAAATATATCAAATAGTTTGCTATGATAAACTTACCAATTTGATGGAGAGAGAAGGATGGGATGATGTATTTTGGAACTGGGATAGCGATTCTTGTACACATAATTTTATCAGTAAATTAAATTCATTAATTTCAATAGCCACTAGAAATAAGGTAATTTTTAGCAAAAAAAGAAGAATAAAGCCTTGGATTACCTGTGGCCTTCTAGTATCCATCAGAACCAGAGACAATTTAAAAAAACAATGTACTCTAAATATAAAGAGTATACCGCACTGTTCTGTCTAAGCTTGTGAAAAATGTCAAATATTTCTATTATAAAGAACAAGCTCTAAAATACGCAAAAAAATCCAAAAAACTATGGGGGGTGATAAGGGAGGCTACAGAAGATAGAGGTTGTCAAGGTGAAATAAAAAATATAGTTAACTCTAATAACACAATAATTATAGATAAAAAGGATATAGCAAAAGCTTTTAATGAATATTTTACCAACATAGGTAGGCAGTTGGCGGAAAGCATTATAAACTCAAACTGCTGATAACACTGTTGTTAGTGGGGAGAGACTGAAAAATTCTTTTCGTTTAGACCCAGTCTCTAAAAAAGAAATTTTAAGGCAAATAAATAACTTAAAAGATGGGGTAAAGGGGGGGATGATAGAATCAGTTCAAGTATTATAAAAAGATATAAACATATTTTATTAAACCCACTGTGTCACGTTATAGGTGCTGGCAAGTAATTCCTGAATGAAAACAACTGTTATTATTCCTCTCTATAAACAAGGGAACAGAAAATCGATGAACGACTATCGGCCAACCAGTACCATAAGTAAAATTATAGAAAAATGTCTCAAAAGTAAGTTAGTTCAATTTTTAGAAAAAAACGAGTCAGTTTGCTTTCAGGGAGGGTGTCCGTACCAATGACATCACTTCCAGTTTACTATGCTCTAGTAGAGTCCATTATGGACTATGGATTAATAGTATGGGGTAGTGCTGGAGTAACTATAATGAATAAATTACAAATAGCTCAAAAGTGGATTATAAAAATCATGCTTTTCAAAAATAGAACATACCCAACGCACCAGTTATTTGCTGACTCTGAATCAACTTTTTTTTAAAATTTGTTATTGGATTTATGCTAAAAAACCGAGTAAAAAACTCAACATATCGAGAAGCTATAAATCATATTATTAATACAAGAAGTGTAATAAGTGTAATGCAAAATAATGTTATATTGCAAAACCCTAGACATGCTGTGTGTCAAACTCACATTTATTGTGTAGGATCTAAAATTTACAATAACTTGCTTTGCTAGTATAAGATCAAAACCTTACCACTTAGTAAAAACAGTTAATGAGTGGTTAATTGAAAGTAATTTCAATATAAACTTACTAATATAATATTATAATATAGATATTTATATAATTACATAAGTATAGCTAATTATAAAAATTCTTACCTATCTCAAAAGACTAATTATTAATAAGTTAGAAAAGCACACTCACAGTATTTAAAATACCATTAGCTTTGTTTTGGTTCGAAAAAAGGACGGTTCTAGAACGAATCGCACAGTTTATCAATCAACAAAATGACAAAGGCTCGGCTATCACAAATTTCAATAATAGTGTGTGCGATTGTTTTGAACCATTCTAGAACCATCATTTTTTCGAACCAAAACAAAGCAATTGTGTGCTATTAATTGCAATAGGGAGGAATTTTTTAACCTTAGTTAAATTACTAGAATACTGGTAAGTCTGTTAAGTTTGTTACTATCAAAGTCTAAAGATCCTGGAACAAGTCCGGTCACTCCTTTGATCTCCTCAAAAAGCCGGCTTTTTTTGCGGAAGGTCGTAAATCATGTCAGCACGCGCCGATTTGTAGATAAGAAGCAAATACGAGGGCGCTGGTCCCGATTGTACTTGGTAATGTTTTTACAGGGGGAGTTTGAAAAAGAATGTCTTTTAAGAATATTTACGTTAATAATTTTTTGGTTTTAAAAAATTATGGAAAAACTTTTTCTGCTTAGCGATTAGCATTAAATTAATTGACGGATAATCCTAATAATTATTGTTACTCGAATAATTTCATATTATAAAATCAGCGGTAAGTGTTACTTAACATCACGTTCTGGTAGTAACTTTGATGGAATAGCAGTTTTTAATGAAGGTTTTCCTACAAGCGTGCAGAAAACGCGTTTTCAAGCACCGATTTGCGTGCGGAAAGTATCACTTTTCTGCACAGTGTGCGTGAAAAAAAAAAAAAAAAAACAGACCGGCGTGCGCGAGAAAAGTTTTTCCACACAGATTTTTTTTTCAATTTTTCTCCTTATGTCATGCTTCTGAATTTTTTTTTTTTTTTCGAAATTACGTTCCTCCATTCTTTCTCTTCAAGAAAGATATTAACTTTTTGTACTGACCAATATCGACATCTTCAATGAGTTTTACCTACGAACATGTGGAAAGTGCACTCTACCGCATAGTGTGTGGTAAAGTAAACTGCAAAGTGTGAGATAATAGTTATTTACCTAACAAATGCGGAAAGTGATACTTTACCGCACGCAATGGCAGTTGTCCGAACGACGCGAAGCGGAGTTCGGTCAAGCCGTCAAGGGCGGTAAAGGCACTTTCCGCATATGTTAGGTACAAAATTTTACCTATCAGCATCTACATCTCCAAAAAATGGCATTAATAAAATTAATTAATGAATCAGATTACTTAATGAAATTAGATTAGATTTTAGAAATGATCAAAAATCCATTTCCTGAAAAAGAAAGGATTTTTAATCATAAATACCAAAATCTACTTTACCGTATACTATACGGTAAAGTTAACTTTACCGCACAGTTTTCAGTTCATTTTACCGCATACTATGTTGTAAAGTTAACTTTACCGCACACTATGCGGTAAAGTAACTTCACCGCATAGTGTGCGGTAAAGTGCCACTTTCCATTTGCAAATAAGTGCGGTAAAGTGCACTCTACCGCACGCTCGTAGGTAAAGTTACTTTACCGCACTCTTAGCGAGATTTTGATATTTTTAATCAAAAATCCCTTCTCTTCTAGGAAAGGGATTTTTGATCATTTTTAAATTTAATCTAATTTCATTAATTAATCTGAATCGTTAATTAATTTTATTACTGCCTTTTCTTGGAGATGTAGATGCTCATAGGTAAAATGTTGTGCCTAACACATGCGGAAAGTGCCTTCACCACCCTTAACGGCTTGACCAAACTGCGCTTGCGTGCGATAAACTATCATTTTCCGCATTTGTTAGGTAAATAATAAATAATTAATTAAATAGTATTTTTGATACCCATTAGAATAATTCCATCCTTATTTATCAATCACGAATTAGATGAAATAAAATATTACCAAGAAAAACGAACTTCGATTGCTAATACGTCAATAATTGACGTATTAGCAATTGATTTCATGTACAAATAGGAAATTATTTTTATTTGTGTGTTCAAGAAGCGACATACGTTTTAAAAATTCTATACTTCTTCTAATTCCTAAAAAATCAAATTTTTGACCATTTCTTTTAGGATTAGTAGATCCAAAAACAAATAAAAAAACAATATGTCAATTTCCGCACGCTCGTAGGAGAAATATTGTACCTAACACGAGCGTAAAGTATCTTTTCCGCACTAACGGCTTGCCGCTGCGTGTAGAAAAGTATAAGTTTCCGCACTTGTTAGGTAGATAACTATTTTCGGACAAAGTGAATGAGTTTTCATTAAAGTGTGCAGAACATATTCTGACAATTCTGTTAGCCGCTTCGAGTGTTAATTTTGTGTGCTTATCTATGTTCTGCAACAAAGCCTAAAAAGTCTTTCCATTGCTGACACCTTAAAAAATATATGATTGCGTTTTAATTTTATCAAATCGCAAAAATTTCGAATAAAATTTACTACACTTTTTGCTTGGCGCACCCGATATAGAACGCAGCATATATAGCAGGGCAACCATAGGCTAGAAGTAGTGTAAAAATCGTGAGTTTTCGTACGAAGGCCTCGTACATTTTGGTAGTGAACAACTAGTTCAATACAATTTGAAATGCTTCCATCTTCAGTATTGGAACATGGATAGAATTGTAGGGTTAGTAATTCTAAGCAAAATACATATATTTTCAGGGGAATTTTCCGATGGGTTGAGGTGCAAAATGCGCGGACATTTTTTTTCTCAGTGATAAAAATAGGTCTACTAATGAGAAGTATACTGAAGTGAGTATGGATAATATGTCTGGCCGAGTGTCTGGCAAGTGAAAAATTGAAGATCCGAAAATTTTCAGCCAGACTCACTTCCACTATCTGAGATAAGCCAAATTGCTATTTTCATATACTTTATGTTCTATTGTAGTAAATGAAATATTTATCTCTTGGAAAATAAGTGTACATGTATTTTTCGGTGATCTTGTGAACCCATCCGAAAATTTTAGCTAGACTCAAAAATTCTAGCTTTGTATCAGGAGAACAAACTATTCAATAGACACCAACTGGGAAAATAAGTGCTAAAAAATTTCACTGCCTCCTGGACTAGGAGTTTGCCAGTCTCAGCTACGCCTCGCCCGTCAACTTACACCGTCGGCTGAGAATATGTCACTTTTCTACCTAAATACACAATATACTATTTTGATACACAATTCCCCGAGCAATTCCCATTTGGTACATTTTTCCTTTTGTCTTTTGAAAACTTTAGAAATAGGCGATTCAGTACCTTACCATAATTTTCTTGTTGTCTGTTATCATCCATACATTCTTCTTTGTCATTGGCATTGGAAATGTCTTCCCTCGCTACAATAATTTGGGACTTGTTGCCCTCTGCCGACTTTGCATGATAGACTTGGGCATATAAAAGAGCTTCAATGTCCTCGTCGATCTCGTCAGTCTTAAATAATAGTAAGTATAGGAATAATTTGTATTACTACTTATTTTAATATTATAAAGCACATTATTAATAAAAAATTAAAGCATGTTTTGCAATAAAACTTACCAACATGCTAGGAGGTTCGTTTCTGTCAAGATGCAATTTTTAACAGAACAAAAGCCTCTTGCATATGTATTTCTTGATACCTCATTAATGGACAATAATTATTATTTCACTAAAAATTAATATTATTGCAAATTCTTTAGTAAGTAAGCAGTATTTTTTAAAAAGATTCTAGGATTTTTAAGATTATTTTTAGGTTAGAATTTAGAATAGAAAATAAAAAACAAATGACATTGACAAGACTATCTAGTAATTAAGGGGTTTTCCTGAGTTGAGTTCAGATTAGTTCGGAATGGAATTATAGTGCGGTACTCTAGTTTGTGTTGTTCGGGGCAGCTCTTCCTGCTTTGGGGCACTCGTTTGCGAGCGTTTTGTTTGGTAATATCTGCCATAATCTGAAATATTATAGCTTAGTTCAAGTTAGTGCGACACAAACAAACACACTTTATGCACTCCAAAATACTCATTACAGACTCTGACTGTTCGGGCATGGCTTTTTAGAGTAAATAGAATAACTAGAGCGCTTCCGAGCTATATGCCTCAAGACAAAACTGCACCCGATTGTTCAAAAAATGATTCGAAACCTTTGAATTTTCAAAGTTTGAAACGGATTTATGTTCTGTTTCTTAAAACAGAGCGTTGCTTTCGGTGCTCTAGGAGCACTTTCGCAGAGATCTGTGATGTCACCGCCTAGACAGGAAGGAACAAAAATAGTATCGATTATAGGGCATCAAGGGCATCATATCGATATCGATAAGCCCTCTTCTACTGAATACCATATGTTGTTTGTTGTGAAGTTTAAACCTGTTAACGTAACTTTTTGCTCGCAACCATTCAATTCGCCGTGAAATGCCGTGTTCTTGTTCTATTTTAATCAACAACAACAAAAAGTTTTGTGTTTTTTCTCCAATGAAATTCCAATTTGAGTTTGAGAGAAAATGAAAATGGCTAGTCCTAGTGAAATGTCGTTGATGTGCAGACTTTATAAAAAGCAAGTGAATATTTCAACTTTCGAAGATCGAAGTGATAATGAACCGAGTAATAAGCTATTAGTTAAAATTAGTGCCATGTTACCCATTAAGGTAAGTTACCATTTATTCATTTATTTTCTTTATTTACGGCCGAGTTTACGACTAATGTATAATTGTGATTTTGGCAGTATAATGACATATGTTATTCCCCCAGGGAATAATGACGAGTAGCGGGATTAAAATGGTCATTATCCCTCCTCAAGTAGCATTTTTCCGACTTACGACTAGATTTTCACTATTTCCGATGTTGTAATTGGTGGAAATTTAGCTGACTTATTAATTTTTCAGTCGAAGTAAATACCCGACCTCCAGCTAACGTTAAATTAACCTCAGACATTTATGATAGCTGTAGCCAACGTAGATCAGACGTTTTCGAGTGTATAGTTTTTTATGGTAAAGCTCGTGACGTTGAGCAAACGTTAACTTTTGACGAGCGTTCTTTTAGCAATGCATCCAACCAATATCGGCCACGGTTAGACGCCTTCATTCGTATACTTTAAATCTAGCTAAAAAAATATAACCAAAATTGTTAGCTAAATTGTTGTTGGGTGTAACGTTGGCATTGGTATACAATTAAGGTTACGAAAAGAGTCGGAGGTTAGACAACATAATATCTCAACCTTATCGCAGTTTACAAAAGACAAAAACACAAAGTCGATCAATAATTGAAAATTGAAGAGTATAATTTCTAAAGTCGTGCCACAATTTTGATTTGAGGAAAAACGAGCAAAATACTTCAAACATGCTTATGTAAAGCTTTTACTTACATCCTGCACCATCTTTAAATGAATCTCAGAACCAAATACATGTGTTGTTGCCACATAGACCCTTTTTGTTTGTATTGGGGTTGAGACTTGGAATCATTTTCAAACATTATCCCAAAGATTATCAAGATGGCACATAGACCCTTGTTGTGATAGCTAGTAGGTAATATATTTTTTGTTTTGAAATGCCATCCAAACAAGCCTATAGGCACACCGCTAATTTTTATAGAAAAAAAGCAAAACTTTTGATTGGGAAACTTGCTCACAACCAAAGATAAGTAATCCTACCTTTGCTACAATGCATAATGATCCATCCAAAAATTAACACATACAGCACAGCACCAAAAATAAAATAGAATAAAAAAATGTGAACTGTTTCCAACAGTAAATTCAAATCAAAATATATAAACACATTAGGTTATGTTATCGTCGTCTTTAGTAATTTTCAAGGAACCAAAACTGAGGTCGGATCCCAACGTCTCAGTATGGTCCAAATTGGTAGTATCTCCGACTTTGAGGTTGTGCTTTGTAATTTTAGGTAATGATTACTTTTCCTTTGGTTAAATTAAGTAAATATTAGTTCAACTACCAGCTCCGCCATATTTTAGGGCTACGTCGATGAAGTATATCTTGTCAGCCATTACAAAAATTTTATTTTTATTTTCCAATTAATGTATGAAATTGACAGTAAACCGGAAATTTTCAAGAAAATATTGTTCCGTTTTAGGTACGATTTTAAATCAAATTTATTAGACTATATACTTTTTTTCTTTTTCATTATTTTTTTTTTTTTTTTTAAATTTGATAAATTTCTACAATTTATGTGGGGCATGCATATTTTTCGACCTCCATGGTCATGTGTATCAGTAAAGTGTCGTGCGTTAACAATATTTGGTCTCAACAAGGGCCCAGCAAGTTCTAATCAATTACCTTCTCTACAAAAATTCGTACGCCATTATTGTTTTATACTATACCCAGTTCTCTATTGTCGTTTATCTCACATGATTCTGAAAAAAGTCACATCAGGGTTGGGAAGTAGAGAATTGGTGGGGTGGAAATAAAATCACTAAAATTGAACCAAAATTTCAGATTTTTTTGTTAACATAACTAAACGTAAATTAACGTTGCATTTGGTGAATGATGCAGCACTTCGAAAGTTGGTTACCAACGTCGGCACCACTCAAATTTGAATGTTTCAAATTAGTGCAAAAAAGGGTCGGCAAATGGTTAATCCGACGTCAATAACCAACGTCAGGTTGTGTGTGGCGACGTGGGGCCGACCTCCAAATGCTATTTGGGTCAGAAGTGTCAGTGTCAAACGTATAGTGCTTGTGGATGTGAAAAGGAGTTCCATTCGGCGTGTCTTATCCAAGCGGCGACCCAAAAATCAGCCAAGTGCCGCCACTCACCATCCTATGCCGAAAAAGAAGCTTGGAAGCATGAGAGAGAGCTCTTTCAAATGGTAATCAAATTGTTGGAAGAAAAGAACGAGTTGCTACAAAAAAACAACCGTCTAATGGGTGAGAAAATTGGAAAACTCCAAGAAAATTTAGAAAAACAGAAAAGTGAGGTTAAAACTCCTTCAAAAATTCCGCCAAAGAAATCGCTGTCATCATCATCAAGTAAGCAGGCCGGAAAATCGGACCAATCTGACAACAACGTAAAAAAGTCCGGCGGAGCCGATGGTGCGGAACGATTCTGTTCCCCAACCAAAAACCATGCTGCGCCACTGTCTCCAAAGTGGCAGCTGACAGACGACAAGAACCAAAACAACAAAAACATTGCACAAAATGAAAATTCCCTTTCTATAAAAATTGTTGAAAAATCCATAAATGATGAGCCACAAACTCCAGGCATAATGCAAAATGGTTGGACACAGGTTGCATATGGAAGAAGAAATACATCCCGCAAAAATCCGGTACATGGAGGATGCAAACAGTTTTCCTTGCAGGTTGCGCCAAAGAAGGCCTACATTTTTCTCACTGGACTCTCGTCTACGGTGACTGAAGAAGAGGTCCAAGAATACATAAAAAATAGCGCTGCAGCTGATTCCAAGTGCTACAAAATGAAGACGAAGAGCAGCAGCTACAAAAGCTCCTTTAAAATTGAAGTGGCAGAAGAAGACACAAGTAAAATAATGGTGCCAGAAATATGGGGTGAAGGCATCATGGTGAACCATTTTACCCATGCCAGACGAAGCCCAAGGACACGGGCAAATTAGCCAACAATAGAGCCATACCAGACTCTACAAGTAGTGAGGAGAAACTCTCTGTGCTACACCTTAATACCCAATCCATCCGAGACATCACAGATGAACTGGAAGCATTTATCGTGGATAAAGCCATTGGTATAATGTGTGTAACTGAGCATTTTTTGAGGGATGATGAAATAAACTCTCTGAGGATTGGCAACTTGGAAGTGGCAGCATCATTCTGCCGGAAAATGTATACAAGAGGAGGAACAGCAGTCTTACTTGAAAAGGGCAGTAGTTATAAAGAGTTGACAGATCTAAGGGAGCTGAGTGTGGAAAAATGTATTGAAGTTTGTGGAGTAAGATCATATAAATACAACATAGTAATACTATCAGTATATAGATCTCCTGGGGGAGATTTTGACATCTTTTTAAACAATCTTGATAAAGTTTTAAATAAATTGGATACACATAATAAGATAGTTCTTGCAGGTGATTTTAATGTGAAATTCTGTACAAATGAAAAAACATGTAGAGAGTTAAATGACATGCTGCAGTCGTATGGATTAGCCCAGACGGTTTTTGAACCTACCCGCGGTAACAACTGCCTGGATAATATTTTTATAAATTTTTCAGAAACTGAATACCTTGCTTGCATTGTAAAGCCAGGCAAATCAGATCACGATGGGCAACTTGTCTCATTAAATTGTCCTCAACAAAGTAATCAAAAATACTCAAAAAAGATTTGTCAGCCCATAACACAGGTAGGAAAAAACACATTCTATCAAAAAATTTCTGAAATTGATTTTAGATTTATAGACTTTCCTACTTCTGTAGAGGTAAAGTTTCAGAACCTTGTGCAGTTAATTGAGTTGGCATATAATGAGTCGTTCCCAAAAAAAACATATAAAGTAAAGGAAAATCAAACAAATAACATTGATTGGTTTAATAATGACCTAAAAAATATGAGAGAACACCTTCAGTACCTAAATGACATCTTTAAACTCCATCCAACAAATCAGCTTAAGGAATATATAAAAAATCTCCAACAAAGCTACAAAAAAGCTATAAAAAAGGCCAAAATTCAGTGCAATGAAACTAAAATAAAAAACTCTTCCAACCCAATTAGATGCATGTGGGAAATAATTAATGAATATCGTGGTAAAACAAAGCCTTCAAAAAATGACCAAACAACATTGACTGCACAAGATTTTAA